CCCTCCCACACCCCACTCCACATTAATGTGCAATATAACCAGGGCATGCAAACACATAAGCTGATACATGAGCACAACCAAACAAGCAAGGCCAAGTGTCACTCCTATGAGAGCAGCAAAGAGAAGGCAAAGAAAAAACATGTTCTCTCTTTACAGTAGTGAAAAGCTAATTCAAATGTGACATATGTAATTAATTTGGGGAAAAAGATCTTTGTTGTATCAAACTGTGAATTATTTAAGGAAGTACGTTTACAATGAATTTGAGGTGTAATAATCTGACAAAGGATTTATCAAGCTGGAATGGAAGCTAAAATTCAGCATAATTCTGTAGATCGCCTGGAATTTTAGACTATACATTGACTCACAAAACAAAACTGCTTCCAAAATGTTCCAAAACAAGTTTTTGAAATTTATTTCTAAAAGTCACGAAGACAAAACTTTAAAAGTGACATTTATACCGAGGATACATGCATGAGCAAAAATATAAGATAAAAAAAAAAGCATGGGTATATAAAAATGAACATAGTAAAGTTTTAATGAATACAGTATTCTGGATACAAGTAGGATACCACCAGAAAGGAATTGCAGTTTTACTTCAAAAATCTATGATAGCATGGACTGAAATAAACTAAAGTTTAAGATAGCCACTTCACATTCACATTTTAATCAGTGCGGACCAGAAGTTAAAGCAATTTCAGGTTAAGATTTCCACGGAAATTATATTACAAATCTGTTTAATGAACACGTTTTGAAGCTTACGAAAATGGTAGCCAGGGCAAGTCAAACCAGAGAGCCAAAATCATGAATTTTGGTGCCAAAAGAATTTTGGCTTTCATTTTGAGCCACTTTAAATTTTATTTTTAATATGTTTTTCAATCACATATCTTAACATGGAACTTTCTGCTAGGAGATCTCACCAACTATTACAACAGTTTTAAAGCAATGAAAACATCAGAGCAATACCCAACTGTCAACAATTTTGTGATGCAGAACTTTTTTCTTTAGTTTTCTGGTCCCAGAAAATTCAAAAGAGCCAAAACCATCAAGTAGCACCTCCCCCCTTAAAGTCTTACTCAAAGATGATAAATGAATAAAATAACTATATAGGCTCTCATACACAATCATTCTAAGCTTTCACCCTGTAGTAAATGATTACAATGTCTTTCAGGCTTGCTATATGGCCCTGAATCAAAAGAAACCAACAAGGAATTTAACATTTCAACAAGCTAGGAACTATTTACTAGTGTGAAATTCTGGAAGACATACTACCATATTTCGAGAAAAAGGCTATTAACAGGTAAGCATGTGTTGAAGAGGCGGTCTATAAATGAAACATTACAAATCTTATGTTTATGCATACAACTTATAAAATAGAAAAATGCTATTTTTTCCAATAGTATAGCATCACACTAACACTAGTTAAGATTGAAAGCTTCTGTACACATGTCCACTACATTTCCACAGCAGCATATGTCTCTTAGACATTCTCAGATCTATCGAACATATGCCAACTATGAATTCACGGATTGGTACCAGTTTGCACAGGCTAAAACAATCATTCTGCCTTCTCACTGAGATAAAGTTAACAAGTTTAGAGAATGAGATTTCATAATCAGTAACGAAATATCAAATGACTTATACGAGGATGGAAAATGTTTCTAAGGACATGATATAACCCTATCAAATGGTTGGATTATGCCCCTCTATATAGTGTATGTGGGGATTAGGAGCCTGGAAAAATACATTAAGATATACAGGACCGAAATGATCAAATCAGTATAGAAACTAAAATATTAATTACTGGTGTTTTATTAGTACAGTATCAGCTACTGCATAGGACTATTCAAACAATATTCACCACTGTGCTGGTGGTGCAAATTAATACCCAAACAATAGAGTAATCTAAAATCACATGGGATTTTGAAAAATTAGAATGATTACGTTTCTGTAATTTGAAAAGTCTAATAAAACTCAATTATTTTCCTAGCTTTTTAGATCTTAGACAATTCATATTTAACATGGTTGCCTGCAGACTCCTTAGTAGAGAAGTAAAAGCAAAGTACAGTTTTGTTATGTTTTGCTGCTGGTCTCCACATGTGCCTTATCAATGAGCAACAATATCATAGGCTTTACTGCGCTACTTTAATATAACTGAACATGAGAAAAATCGGTAGTTCAAATTTTGACAAGTGGTATGTGTATATTTTTTTTGGTGGCAGGCTTATTTTAAAATGAAAACAAAACACCCACATAAAACCTAAAACCAGATGTGTACTCTGACAACTTGAACTAGGAACTTGTTTGTAAAGGAAACTTAGGCATAGAAAGGTGTTTCTGAAAAATAGAAAATCTAACCTTTTTCTTACTTTGGTTTCTTTAAAAAATGAAGATTTGTAGTAAAATGACCTTAAAGAAACTCTAAGTCACATAGGGCATCATTTGTTAGTACCTTGTAATAGAAATATATTTTGTAAATATTTTTTAACTTGAATATTTTCAGAGGTTACTTTTAAAGCTCTAGTCCAATTTTCAGCTTTCGATTCCTTAAAAAAAAAAATCAGTCTCCAACAGAGAAGACACAACTGAGCTAAGTTACTTTGATAACTTTATAGAATAGTGAGGTTCAGGGAGATCATTTCCAGAACATGGTTGACCTTTAAGATTCCTCACCCAGTTATGCAGGACATTGCCAGATTTCCACTACAAAAATCTTGCCAATATTTCTAAATAGTATTTACCATCCACCTTTAAAAACCTTGCACAAGGCAAAGCACATATAAGTGAAAGAAAATAAACTTGTTTCTATTTACTTAAACTTATAAAACTATATGGTAGAGAAATTTTAATATCTTGATGTTAACCAAAAGTTACTACTAATCCTGTCAAAAACTGAAAATTCAATAATGAAATGTCTGCTTAAATAAAAATGCCAATATCACTATCTTTATATACCAAGATACTGAAAAAAATGTTTGCAAATTTAAGATGATGCTTGAAATCTAAGTTAAAGTTAAAAGAATGTGCATTTATAGTGAGACTAAAATTGTCACTGCAAAATTCCCTATGCCATTTGGCACTGATACTGGAAGATTCTAGTCTTTTGGTCACTTAAAGCTGCTATTAAATACAATAAGCCTTTAAAAGGGAGGAAAAGAGTGAAGAACTGAAGAACAGTTCAGTTAACTATCATATACAAGTAGAGCATACTCTGAAATAAACTCATTTTCTTGTAGGAATCTGAAGATACAAGAAGACTCTCCCACCATCCTTTCCTTTCTGAAGATGCTCTAATCAGATATAATTCCTTTTTAGTTATTGTGAATATTTCCTGGCAGCAATTTCTATTTCCTAGATTAGTTTTCAATTAAAGGAATAATCATACATGGCAACAAGGTAAAAAGCAGGGCAGTACTTCCATGCACAAATATTTCAGAAGGAAAACCATCAATTTTAAAGATAACCATCAGGTTTCAGGTATCAAACACACTCTAATCCCTAAATTTTGTTTTACACCATTGGTGACAAAATTAAGTTTTGCAGTGAGGTTTTGTTTTTGCCTGCAACTATATACACATTGCAAAACTATTCTGCATCACATGATTTTAAATGAAATAAATATAAAAATGAACCACACAATCAACACATAACTTTAATACTCCACATTATTTATCTTGATCACAATGGTGGTAACTTCCTTGTCAACAATCTTGTGAATTGAGGAGTTGATTTTCATTCTCATATCCATCAGGCAGATATGCTCTCCTCAGCTGGTCTGACTTGGGTATGGATCCTCCATTCTTCACATGGCGAGATAGGAAAGCGCGGACTGCTGGATGATCAGCCTTCTCAAGTGGGATGTTGGCTTCCAGGCACATTTTCACAAAGTCCTGGATAACACCGACCTTCTCTGTTTGCGCAGTACTGTTGCACTGAAGAGATGCTGTTAAGGGCCTCTGCTTCTTCCTTACATTCTGCTCCTCAAACTCTGCCTTCCTCTTGGTATGAGTCTTTGACTTGAGATGGTCACTAATGGCAGACTTGCGAACATGATTCAGAACCACATTGCAAGAAGTGCAGAAGAGTTTTCCTCCATCTTCATGCAGCTCACCTCCAAACTCAGTGACTCGATCCAAGGGAGTCACATACAAAGCAGTCTTAGAACGGTTTCGAGCAGGTGGTGCGGTCACTACAAATCTTTCCATTTTGATTTTTAACAAGGTTCTTAAAGACAAAGAAACAAAGATAATTGTTACAACAATCCATTTGGAAAGTAATTTACAATAAATAGCAGGTATAAACATTTTTATACTAAAATCTTCAGGAAACTAAATTCAAATTAACAGGGGTTGGAGCAATATACAGTGGATAGGACGTTTGCCTTGCACATTTCTGGTCCAGGTTTGATCCACAGCATCCCCTATCTTCCTCCTAAGCTCCTCTAGGAGTAATTATTGAGTACAAAGCAGCCCTAAGCATCGCTAGGCAGAGCCCCAAACTAAAAACCAAAATAAAGAAACAACCAAAACAAAATAAGAAAACAATCCCAAATTGTACAGTGTGTCCATTAAGTCAATTCACCCAAAATACTGCAAGGGAAGGCAAGTTGCCAATAACTAGACCCATTCCTGAATCCTGAACTTCAACTATTCCATGTCACTACTTAAGAAAATCTGATCTTCAGTTCAATATTTGGAATGTTATTATATTAATCTGATCCAATTTACATTTTTTGGGGGGGAGGAGGGGTTTAGTCTACACCTGCTTGTGCTCAGGGTTTACTCCTGGTGGTTTACTTCTGGTGGTGCCTAAGTGGAACATATGTGACATGGATTGAACTGAGTTGCCCACATGTAAGGCGAGCACCTTAAACCATATACTATCACTCTGGTCCCCATACACTTAATTTTGAAAGACTTTTGTACCCTTCACAGTTTGGAATAAATGCTTTTAGGTACACAATTGTAGGGAATTGTGAAAAAAGGTGGACATAAAACAGCATAATGTTATGTGAACGTGAGTAGAATTTCCAAATTGTTCTTAGAAGCAAAAAGAAATATCAAATTAAATGTAATTAACAGGAGTCACAAAGACATTAACGTTTTCTTTCTTTCTTTCTTTTTTTCTTTTTAACTTTTGGGTCACACCCGGTGATGCACAGGGGTTTCCGTGGCTCATGCACTCAGGAATCACTCTTGGCGGTGCTCGGGGGACCATATGGGATGCTGGGAATTGAACCCGTGTCGGCCGCATGCAAGGCAAACGCCCTACCTGCTGTGCTATCACTTTGGCCCCAAAGACATTAAAGTTTAAAGTGGAAATACAGAATGCAAATCTAGCTCTTATCTTAAATTTTTTTTGCAACTAGGTGTTTAGAGGTTAGTCCTGACTCTGTGATCAGAAGTGAACCTTGATGGATACTCAGGGGACCATATGTGCTGCTGGGGATTCCAAGTGGGTTCAGCTACAGGCAATGCAGATGCCTGAACACTGTTACCTCTTCAGCAAGCCATTTTGAAAATGAATATACACATTTTTCCTAAGTTTTCCAAAAGGTCATAATCAAAATTAAAATATTTACCCTTTTCTCCATTAAAGACTAATAATTACAATATTTTATAAATTAAAATAGCTAGTTTGTGACAGATACTTGCAAATTTGCTGGTAAGTCAATTTCACTATTTCTCTAATTATTTAACTATTGATTTTCCAATTACTGAATTATTAATAAGTATTCAATTATTTCTTGACTAATTCTAGTTCTTATGACCACTGCCAAAATTATCTGACACAAAAACCTGACCTAAGTAATAATCTTTTTTTTTTTTTTGCTTTGTTTTTGGGCCATACCTGGTGATGCTCAGGGGTTTTTCCTGGCTCTGCATTCAGGAATTTCTCTTGGCAGTGCTCAGGGGAACAACTGGATACTGGGGATAGAACCTGGGTAGGCAGGTGGGCAAGCACTGAACTAAGTACTCTACCACCATGTTCTTTTAAGAAATACTTGTTTCCCCAGGGATAATGCATTCAGACTAAGCTTGCATTGCAAGCAGCAGACCTGTGTCTGATCCCATATGGTCCCCCAGCACCACCAGGAGTAATCCAAGCATCTCCGGGTGTGACCCAAGAAGAAACAAAAAAAAGAACCCCTCCCCCCACCCCACAAAAAAAAAAGAAAAAGAAAAAATTAAAACGAATTTGGCCAATAGGTAGGGCACTTGCTGTAGGTTAAATTCCCTCTACTATAAGGTTCCCAAGCAGAGGATTGACACAGGGCCACAATACCTGAGAGCACTGAGATGGGTAGTAGACCACCAATCCACTCTGATGGCAAAAAGAAGAATCGATTGAATTCCAAATGCAATTTTGCTCTGCATAAACAGATTGCAGAAAATCCCTGAATGTGCCTTATAAATGCTATCAGAAACGAAGGATTTTTTTTTTTTTGGGTAATAACATACTAGAGAATGGACTGAAAACGTAAAATTTTCCCTCAAGAAATCGTCACTTAAACTGTCAAAGTGTAAAGCACCTAAAGAATTCAGAAAAGGGCTTAATATTTATTTCACATGCATTCTTGAAAACATAATAAAGCTTAGGCGTTAATAGGCTGAATTCTATGTTTTTTAAACAAACATTTGTTTAATGCATGGTTTTCATGTGCTAAGTATCTGATAGACTCTTGCCAAGATATCTAATTCTTCCCTTGTGAGTAGTTCATGAAATACTATCCCAGGTTTATAGTCAACGGTAGTTTTATCGTCCTCTCGCAAGTCAGCCCCACTTAAAACATTAAATATTTTGGCCTAGCCATGCCTAAATCTTGCCCGGTGAACAGTCTCGCCTCTAAATATTCTGATTCCCCACTATCAGACACTAAATAAACGTGCATGTAACAAAACGTGCGTCTACGCCGGAAAAATGCTCAGTCACTTGGGCTGGTGGTAAACGACCTGTGCCTTCCAGAGTCCTGGAACTTTCCCAATTCTGCCCATGTCCCTGCAGAATCAAGCGTGCACCCCGCGGAGGATGCTCGCACTTACAGAACCCAACAACAGCCGTGCGTTTTGAGAGAAGACAAGAGACCTTTTCAAACAAACAAGGACGTCAAGGAACCAAGCGACAGCAATTGGCCGACCACGGAGAGACGACAGAAGGGGGAAAAAAAAAATCAAAAGTTAGGTCAAGTTTTCTAGTCAACGTTTACCGGCTGCGTTTCCAGCTTTTTCCGTCTGGCTCCTTCAGCGCAGGGTCTCCGGGGCCGAGAGGGAGGCGCGCGGACTCGCGGGCACTTTTTTTCTCCCCCCCCTCACGCAGCTTCAAATCCCGAGGCGCCTCGCACTCAGATTTTCAACAAGTGGTGGTGGGGAAACAGTTCCTGGGCTTGCAACCCGTTTTCCCTGCGGTGCCGGGAAGTCATGCCTTCACTGCAAAAAACACGAAAAAGAGCAAGGGGGGGGAAAAAAATAATTAGACCTGGGGGAGGGGGAGGGCCAGCAGGATGGATGGAGAAAGGGAGGGGAACGTCGGGCCCGAGCCGCCGCGCAGGTGTCTGGAAAACTACGCTTTTCGGGGGGCGGGCAGTTCCTCCACGCCTCAGCCCCGGGACCCACCCCAGCACTCGTCAGGCCGGCTCCGGCGCGGCGGGGCGTCCCGCTCGGCTCTCCCCGCGCGCCCCCGGGGCCCAGGGTTCGGGAGGGGGAGGGTAAGGCGGGGCGCGGGACGTCCCCGGCGTCTGGCTTCCCTCCTCCCGCGCCGAGCCCGGCACGCCGGCGGCGCCCAGCGCCAGGGCCGCGTCCCCGCTGCCCGCCGCGGGCCCGAGAACTCGACAGCCGAGTTGGCGGCAGTCTCTGGGGAGGAGGCGGCCGGCGCCTGGCGGAGGCGGCCGCTGTCAGGCTTCCCGTCTCCTCCCTCTTCCTCCCGCCGCCGACAACGGCGTCCCGGCCCCGCCCCCGGCTCGCGCTTCAGGACGGAAGGCCCCGGGCCCCAAGCCCACACCAACGGCCGGGCCCACCCTCGGCCTCCCTCGCTCTGTGGTACCGTAGGATCGGGGCGGCCGCTAGGGGAAGTGGACGAGACCCGGCCGGAAAGGAAGGGAGGAGGAAAAAAGGAGGAGCAAAGGATTGAGAGAGGAGGAGGACCCGCCGCCGCCGCCGCCGCCGCCGCCGTCGCCGCCGCCGCCGCCGCCGCCGCCGCCGTCGCCCGATCGAGCCCCGCGGCGGCCTCCGTGTCCCCCGCCGCGCCCCGTCCTCCTGCGCCGCCTCTGGCGAAGCTCGTAGGCGGTCCCCAGCAACCGCCGAGCAGCCTTGACCAACGGATCGCGGAGCTAGCAAACGGATGGCTGCTTCGGCCAATGGCTAAGGAAGGGCGGGCGTCTCTCTGAGTGGCGGCTGGCGTGCGCCAATGGTAGCTGGGGGCGTGGGTGGGAGGAGCCGGAAGTGGAGCCAGGCGAGCGGCCCCTGTCCGGCTGGGGCGGAGGGAAGGGGGAGGGAACTAAGCCGAGGAGGAGGAGGTTAGCCGAGGCAGCTACAGCGGCGGCGGCGCAGGGGCTGGTACGCGCTGGGCGGCGAGAGCCTCATGGCGGAGGAAGAGAGCGACCAAGAGGCCGAACGCCTCGGAGAAGAACTCGTGGCCATTGTGGAGTCGCCGCCTGGTCCTGCGGGGCTCAGAAGTGCAGACGGCGGCGCCGGTGGTGCCGGCGGCGGCAGCTACGTTGACGGCGGCGTCGGGATCAGCAGTCGGGATTACTGCCGACGCTTCTGTCAGGTGAGGCGCCCCGTCGGTCGCCGGGACTTGTCACCGGGGGTCGGGCCTCCCCCGGCGCCTGCCGGCCCCCTCTCGCTCGCTCTCCCGGAATCCTGCTCTCTGCCCGCCGCCGCACAAGGAGAGCGAGGGTGAAGCTTCCCTCCCCCCACAGCCTCCCTCCGGCTTGGGGGTGGGGGGCGGGGAGCCGAACGCGGGTGACCCGCGGGTGGAGGGTGGCCGGAGAAAGTGAGAGTTTGTCGGCGCCGGAGGGAGGGTGAGCTGGCAGGAAAGCGAGCTCGGGACCGACGGGGCACCCCGGCCCCTCTTACCCCGGACGAACCCCTTTCTGCCCCAGGGTCCCGCCTTTCGGAGGCTTCCTGCGCTCTTCGCACCTCGTCTAGGGCCGCCGACGAGCGTCTTCTCGCCGCCGCCCCGTGGCCCCCCTCCCCACCCCCCCCCCTTCCCCGCGCACCCTCCGGTGTGTCGGAGGTGGGAGGCAGGCGGTCGCTCGGCCGCCCCCTGTGCTGTCATCCGCACCCCTCCCCCGCGCAGGGGGTCTTCTGTCATCCCCGGTGCACCCGTTCCGCGGCGCGCGGAGGCGCCGACCCGCCGGGTTTGGGGCTTCAGTTGCTCCTTGTAGAAGGTGGGGCGCGGGCGGTGTGACTTGTCATCAGTCCTTCTCTTGACCACCTTCCTCCCCACCCCCCACCCCCCTTTCGCACCCCTCCCCGTGCCCCCGACGTCGCCGGCGCTCTCCTAATAACACCGTTGGAGGAATGGGGGGAGTGGGGGGAGAAGTTTGCCTCATCTCCCCCCCGCGCGCCCCCCCCCCCCCCTTGCTCTGTTCCTTCGTTCTCCTCGCGGCGCCCACGTTCCCGGGGACTTTTAATTTAGCTCGTGAAATGTCTGAGCTGTGTCACTCATCCTCTCCTCGGTCAGCTGCCACGGAGAGTTGAAGTAGCTTCAAAGTGTCTGACCACAGTCCAATATTAGCGCATCAAACAAAGTACTTATGGGGTGGGGGGGGTGCAGGCGGGCGTCAAATGTGTGTCATCTCTTTCACGGCTACTTAAATATATAGAATCTATCTCCTGCCACTGCCAATACTAACTGCTCCTTTGCTTTTTTTTTTTCGAATTTAAAATCTATCTGGGGGGGGGGGGGGTTGTCCACACCCGTTGGTTCAAAGGGCTTACTTATACCTGGCCCTGTGCCCAGGGATCACTCCTGGCAGGGCTCAGGGGACCATATGGGCTGTTGGGGATTGAACCCCTAGTCTACCGGATGCAAGGCAACTAACTGCCTTACCCGCTGTTTTCTCTCTCTGCTCCCTCCCTCCCTCCGTTGCTTTAAAAAACTGGTTATTATCTTGAATGTTAAGGGTTTAAAATCTGGCTCCACTGATAGTAGTGCTACCTTGGGCATATTACTTAACCTCGCTGTGCCTTCAGTTTCCTCTCTGTCAAATAGGGTGGAATTGACATTTTAATTCGTTAGTTTAATTTATCTTTTGATTTCATCATTCCCTCTGATAAGACCCCCATTTCCCACCAAGAAACTATTTTGGTATGAAGAGTATGCTATTCTTTTTTGACAGTTCTACTTAGGAACTTTTTTACTTTATTTTTTTAACTAAATTTTTTTTTTTTTTTTGCTTTTTGGGTCACACCTGGTGATGCACAGGGGTTGCTCCTGGCTCTGCACTCAGGAATTACTCCTGGTGGTAACTCAGGGGACCATATGGGATGCTGGGAATCCAACCCGGGTTGGCCGCGTGCAAGGCAAATGCTCTACCTGCTGTGCTATCTATCACTTTAGCCCTTAGGAACTTTTTTAAACCGTATTTTTCCTTATTGATAATAGATTTAAGAGGTTCATTGACTTTACTATAACTGTCATATGTTAAATCTAGAAAACACGTTATTGGTAGATTTCTTTTAATCTCGAATTTTAAATTTAAAATAGGATTACGATGTAAAATATGCTCAATCTTTTTTTCTTTGTTGTGCTTTTTAAAATCATTAATGAGCAGCTGATTTTAATTCCATTTGACTTTGTAAGTTTACTTGATTTGATGATACTTACCTAATTGCTATAGAATTTGAAATTTGAGGACCAGAATATTTTGGAGGATTTTTAACCACTCTTATTTTGCTGAATGATTCTTAAAAACGTTTTATAAAAGTACCTTCTTAATGTCCAAGGAAATAAACACTAAAATCAGTGAACTTTTAAATTTCTGATTAATGAGTTGCTATTTTGACATAGTTTCAGATTAAAACTTTTACTGAAATTATATCATGTTTTAAATGCTCTAGATTACCAGTAGATCTGCTTAGAGTTCCTGTACTGATTTCACCATGCAGGTGAACTTTGTAAAGTCTTTTTCTAAAATTAAAATGTGGAATAAAAATGATCTGTACTAAGTTTTATCCACTAATTAAAGTTTTAGTATGGTGGTGCATTTATTTGCTAGTAAGACAGTGAATCATATAACTCCCCAAGTTTCTTGTTAAAAACATTTGGCTTTCAAATACTCTGAGTAATATTAAATTATATTCATTAGCAAGTGATTTAATCTTGAATAATCAACATGAATGATGTGCATTTGGGTGAATGATAGTTAACTGTTACACATCCCACTTTGTGTTGAGAAGAAAAACTTCAATTTATTTTGTTCCGTTCAGAGAAAATTTGAATCAACATTTCTTGGCATTTCATGTGTGGGTGAAGGGAGAGAGGAAGGAATACTTTAAGAGGAGTTTTTGTGTCTTTACTAAAAGTGAGACGTCAGACAATAGATAATATAAGTAATAAATTTTCCATGTATTCAGTGCTTTGTATTCAGTGCTTTGATGGAATACTCTATTTAAGAAACAATACCAGTAATTGTAAAATCTCAAAAGACTCTGAAATGTCAACTGATTTTTGAGAAGATAGGTTTGGGAAATGAAAAGCGTCGATTTCCAAATAGTTACAGGGAGCTATAGTGAATGGACTAATTGCCCCTATCACATCCTTGTTGGTATATTTTCAACAAATGCTTAAACCTGTTGGTCCTTAACTGATAGTTACCTCTGCTGATGAAAGAAAGGAGAAAGTACTTTTTCATGAGGACCTCTTAAGCTATTCAGATGGGTCTTACTATGTAAGTTATATAGTTGAAACTGAGGCCTGAACAGGTAATTTGTTTATGGTTCCAGTAGGCATACACGGTGGGATTTGAACCTAACCTTCAATGTCCATTGAAAAAGGTAGCTTGAAATTATAGATAAGTCCTTAGATAATTCTAGTGTTTTTTTTTTTGGGGGGGGTGCAAATTTTTGCAAAGGGGGAAAAAGTTACTGAAAGTGCTCAGGGAATCATAATTAAAAATTTAAAAGTATTCTTTCATTATGCTACAATACTAAAAATGCTTCAAGAAAAAAATGGTTCATTGTTAGGTATTGTGAACCTTTCCCTAATTACTAGAGAGGTTATAATTCACCTTATCATGTTGAATACATTGCAACATTTTAATCATGAATTATAAACTAAGCAGATTAAGCTATTTTTCTTCCTAGTTTAGTGCCAGAATGAATACAGATAGTGATGGAAAACCTTTTTTGGGAACACTCTGATATGTTGATTACTGTAGCCTGTAAAATTGTTTCTTACTGGGATGGGAGAGAAAGCACAAGGGTTAAGGTGCTTGTCTTTCACCCCCTGGGCTTGATCCTTGGCACCACCGATGGTCCCCTGAGCACCACCAGGAGTGATCCCAGAACAGAGCCAGAAGTAAACCCCGAGCACCACCAGGTGTGACACCAAAACTACAACCAAAAAACTGCTCCTTAAATAAGTGTTCTTGGAAGGTTCCAAAAGTATGAAACAGTGAACATGAAGTGTTCAGTATTATATCTATCAGATTGAAAAGTTAAAATATTAAACATTAATGTTTTTCTAGTGATATCTTCTGAAAGTTTCAAGAGGGACATTAGAAGTAATCTGTTTAGTGGGTCACTTAAATATTACACAAATAAATTTAAGAAAAACATCACCATTAAAAGTTTTTGTTATTTAGGAAAGTACAATCCTCCTGATGACTCAGAAAATTATTTGCAAAAGCAGTTACATTTTGGAAATTTGGTTTCCTGTGGGGGATAGTTTACAGTATTTGGAGATATTATTGATTTTTCCTAATTGGGGTCTTACTACTGGCCTCTAGTGGAAAGAGGCCAGGGATGTAGCTAAATGTCTTACTATACATAAAAGGCAATCCCAACAACTGTTCTATGGTCCAACATAAGTAGGTAATGATGTTGACGGTTTCCTAACTATACTCTTAATTTTGGCACTGCTAATGGGTATTATATGACAGTAATGCTGACTTAAACGGGAAAAAAAGTCCCAAAGTAGCCATCATGTACCAGGTACTGTAATTGGTGCCTCAAATACTGTCTAACAGAAAAAAGGGTTTATTTTTGGGGTCTTGTTGTTAGGACTATCTAAGACTATCTAAGATGTGCACATCTTAGCTTTCCCCATCTAAAAATGTAGAACTATTTTTTTGGATTTTTTTTCTGGTAAATATATATCTGTGATTATATTAGGGAGAAAATAAGAATAATGAATATTTTATAGTCAACCTAACTTTACCTCTGCAGCTTGTATTTAAAAAAAAAAAACTTTCATACTTCTCTTTTCTTCCCTCCAGGGTCCCTGAGGCAAGCATTTGCAAG